TAATTAAATTCGATACTTAATACTAACAAAATGAAGGTTTTTGAAAGAGCATAAGTTTGAACATTAAGTACGATTTGCGTAAATAAATGTAACAAAAATTTTTGATCGTGAATCCTCTATTTAAATTAAAAAAACTGTTCTTAATTACCATATTTGACAATCTCTAACATGCACCGTCAAAATTGTAGCTAAAAATGAATCCTACACGCGTATTACATTTTCAAGAATAAGAAAGGAGCATATAAATTGAATGGATGATTTCCTCTCTATTTATGGCTTATTCCTCAAATTTACGTTTTATTATCCTATCCATAACCTAGAATTTAATAGGGTTTAATTACTCTTCATAAATTTTCTCCTCAAATTACGTCACGTGTCATACGCAGGCGCATATTGCACGTCATGATATACGGTGATTAATGAATTTCCTCGACAAATGTCGCTCCTTACAACTTTAACGAGGCGATGAATTCGCAATGGACGATTCTCAAAGAGGCAAATTTTTGATAAAAATTTCATCGAGCTCCCAAACTCGATCGAACTTATAGGAGGACCTGAGACCCCGCATCAAGGAACCGTCATTTCCGGTTTACAATTGCTCGACGTAGCTCCGATGCGTCCCTCCCCCGTCTGTCGACAATGTTCCCATTCTTCCAAGGTACACAATGATACGTGTTTAAAATATACAAATATATATACATACATATATCTGTATATACATATATCTGTATATATACTACACATAATATACAATATATATACAAATACATATATATATATATACATATATAGGCGCGTGTACAGAGAACGCATTAACGTACGCTAGTAGTACAAGTATGAAAAAGGTCAGCCATGCGTACACCAGCCTGGGTCATTCGTTTTCTTCTGTTTTCTTCTCTTTTATATTATTCGATCTCTTTCTACGTTGTACTAAGATTTGGTTACTTGAAGAGTATGTTACTAACTAGGTTTCGCTTTGTGGCACTGGGCTGTTTCTCCCATTTTTTTGTTTCGTTTCTTTTTTTTTTTTTTCCTTATTTCTTAGTCGGAATGCGCGGATTCGTTCTCTTGAGCGCGGGCGAAACGCGTGTACCTCTTCTGTTCTTCTTCTTCATCTTCTTCACTTGCTTTCGTTTCGTTCACTCAAGTTCAAAAGGAGAAGAGGAACTCGCGTACCCCGACTCCGTCTCCCTCTTTCTCTCGTTTACTCTAGTCGACGCACTTTAAGTACTAACGAGTTCGTGGATTTTTTATTTTTTTATTTTTTTTGGGGGGCGGGGGGAGGGTTGAACGTTGGACGCTGGCCTCAACTACTGTCGTTTGTATTACTTTTTGCTCTCGTGACACCAGACATTGGAATTTATATTATTTCTCTATTTTTGTTGTTTTGGTTGCGATGGGGAATTCTACTTTATCTACCTGGCAATCTAATTATACGTACATACAGCGTAGTAGATTAATGGGATAGTTTAAACGTTTATGTGTCGTTTGTAAAAGCAGCTGACAGTATAATAACGATAAATATGTTAGATGAACGATAGTAGTTGAGGTTTGACTTCTTCTGGTGCTGTGGATCTGTGCGATTAGAATTTTTCTTTTTGGCATACTTCATTTTGCTCCTCGTAGTTTGGAATTAACGACTTGTTTTAAATATTATGCTGCGCAAGGGGATGATTTATATACAGAGATCATTCTAAATTGGAAAATTTCCTTTTAATTATTACTAATGTTTTAAAAATTTCGCATTTAAGTGACGACTGGTCACTTTACAAAATATACGAAACGTCGATATCAAATTTCATTGTTCTGGAGTATTCAAATTTTTATTCAGACTACTTTCACCTAGTGATTAACTTAGATTTGTTGCGTCTTCCGATTTTGTACTTTTAATCTACCTTCCAAATGCCTGCTTCAAAAATTCAAGAACCATCCATTATAATACAAATGAAAATTCTATAAAATCGCATATTTAGAAGTGTTAACCACATCTAACAAACCCACAGAGTAAAAATCACAGCACCAAAATGGTTTAATTATTAAACAATTTCTAAACGTTCGGTTCTGCTTGTAATTAAACTCTCAATCCGATTTCTCTTTCACTTCTCGATTCTATCGCTCTGCCACGTTATACTTGTCGCTCTATCTTACATGGACTACGTGTTAACTCTTAATCGTACGCCTCGTATAGCTTACCTACATATGTACAGCCGCGATTTGGGGTAGAGAAAAGTCATGTAGAGTGCTGATTTCGATAACATAATGTGACAAGTTAAGTTATCTATCAAAGTCATCCTTTTATCAAATTCTTTGGAAAAGAAAGTCAAGGATCAGCTTTGTTGCAGAAATGATTTCAGGCTGTCTGATGAACAGACAGTAGAAATTGTTTAGTAATTCGCTATCATGTTATTTCTGCAGTGCTTTCTTTAAATTTTCAGCAGAAGTAAATTTAATAGCATTGAAATTGGCAATAACGTGTGGTACATGCTGCCGAAGTCATTTTGATAATTTTGTAATCTGAATTAACAATTACACATGGGTGACTTCATGTTCCTGATATAACACACCAAAATGCCATTCGAAATGCATTTAAAAGTCAGATGCGACATTTATAAGTTATCTATAAATTTTCAGTTTCGAAATCCTCTCTACACTGTTAAAACCTTTCTTCCCCATTTATTTTTTTGCATACGAAAAATTCGACACACACGCGTGCACACACACATACGTATAATCCACACATCCATACACCGCACATCGGGCGTTCACAGATGCACTGAGGGCTGGCACAACCGATCTTAGGAACCGACTGCAATAAGCGATGGGTCGCGCTACAGCCCCGGGAAAACTCATTTGGATAAACAATTGGCGTAGCGTAAATACAAAAGAACAGAAGGGAACTATTTTCTATCGTCTAAAAAGTTTCCCTGTTTCTTTCAAATCTCGCTATAATAATTCGCACACGCAATCTGCGTTTTCTCTCTGCGTTCCTTCTTTTTCATATCGTGTTATCTCTCTCCCACACACACGCACGCACGCACACACCTCGTGTATATATAATGTGTACATATATATAGTAACTTTCCTCGTATGTATACCTATGTACAAAACACTAAGTGACTCGACATGACTATGTGCATTTTTTCCCTTGTTTTCTGGTTTTCTCCTCTCCTCTTCCTTTCCCTTTCCGCGAAGGAAGATTAATCCGCGTTTTACTTTCTAGCATTTCTCTAGTTTTTAAACGATACAGAAATTGGCGTGGTAGCTTCGTCGTTCAGCTACTAAAAATTAAGTGTACAATTCTATTACGAAATAGATACGTGAAGCGTATTGCATTGCCTTCCCCTAACGGCACGCCTTCCGGTTTTCTCTCTTCTACTACTTCCGGTTTCTGTTCTCCTTCAGCTCTCTCCGAAATTAGTTGAAATTTTTAATATCTTTTGCTATCCTAGGTTTCTCTCGAAGATGCTCTTAAAATCGTTTGTTTCATTATTTTGCTTTTTTACTTATTTCATTTCTTACGTTCGAGTAAATCTCAGTGTTTGCGCTTGAACGAAATATTTTTCGTTCCTTCTCACTTTTTAACAAGGTTTATCTGTGAAGTCTAATTTATACGTAATTCGCTTTTGTTCCTTTTTAGCGTTTATCGCACTTATCGATCAGTTATTAACCCTATGCAGATCAGTTTCTTTTCTTTCTTCTCAGACTCAGATTAACGCAAAATGAGTCGATCGAAAGCTGACATTATCGTGAAAGTTTCGGAACGTTTAATATCGTATGCAGCAGCAACGTTGCATCATAATTGCGTGAATGCTTCGAGGAAAAGCGAAAACAGCAAACTTGAATGCTCAGGTTTCTCGGTTTCCCTGTTTTGCACAGCATTCATTATTTAAATAAACAATAGTCGAGCTTCGTTTATTCCACCTTGATTCCGTTTTTCTTCATAAAAAAACATTTTTCTATAAAAAAAAGTCTAACCTAGAAGGGGTTAAACTGACCAAGCAACACTCGAACGAAGAAATAAAAGATTCAGACTTTTCCAAGCTTAGCATCTTCAATTGATAAACCTCTCTACCTCAACGCCAATAGAGGGCGTTAAATTTCACAAAAAAAAATAAAATAAAAAAAAATAATAAAAGAAAAAAGTCTCAGGAAACTCTAGATCATGATTCGAGACGGGCACGCAGTCTCTGTCAATGAACTGAGAACAAAACCGATCCCGATGCCTCCAATGATCGGATGCGCACGATCTTCGTAAATAAAAACGCGTACAACTAAATAACAAAGCGGGCCCACAGAATACTTGGACCCTCGTGTTCGTCATCCGACCCTCCATATACACACACACACACACGTATATATATGTATATATATATAAATATATATATACATATATATAAAAGATTCTGCACGTGGAATCACGATTCGCTTGGGACGACGCTCGGCACTGATCGTTACTCGATCTCCGAGTAAAAATTATAACAGCTATCGGATAGCTCTATCGATCGACTAAATTTCTACGTTTTGTGTCTTTTCATCGATCGTGAGGTCTCACGAATCGAGCACACGAAAAATAACTTTCTCTTGCTCGAAGAACGCCCAAATAGATGGCGACTATAAACTATTCTCCTCGAATTCAAACACGCTATACAGGGACGCGGTTCGAGAAAAAAAAGAATGTCCCTAGTCCTTCAATGTCCCTTGATTCGACGAATCTTCGCAACGAATGTACAGAATCCGTACAGAACACTAAAATATCGAACACGTTCCGAGGTGTTTCTCTTCTCGAAGGCGATTCTGTTCACAGTGATGACGAAGGGAAACCAATCGACGATTTGATCGAGCAAGCACAATATATCAGTGTCTTGTATATATGTTCCTTTATATTGCATATATGTTCCTCGTTTAGGAATTTTCTTGCGTATTCTCTTGCTCTAACTTTGCTTCGTCGTCCATCTTCATTCTCTTCCTGGCCGTGGGTTCCTCAGCATCGTCGTCGCTGCTGGGTATCGCTTCTTCCTCGGCTTCCAGGCTCAGCAGAGAGTCACCCTGGCTAGAGTTTCCCTCAACGGCGTCTCTCAAAAATGGACGTCCCTCACATCGGTCGGCGTGCCCGCCTTCTCGTGTTCCAGGATCTTCTCCTGGCTGGTGATCTCGTCCCCCAGAGGCCTCTGTGGTGCGCCAGAAAGCGATGCTCCGCTCACCTGATGAGCGTTTCCACCGGTACCTTCTGCACCCACTGCCTGGGAGACCATCTCCTCGATCTGTTCTAGGCAACTTTGCAGATAATCCTGGAAAGAAGTAATAAATTATATAAAACTAATTTTATAAATATGGTTTTCGTATTGATAACATTTTTAAGGGTTTGATTTATCACAAATAACATTCTTAGATCTATTTTTTGTACGCGATACCAAGGACAAATTAATTGTCATTTTTATTTGATCAAAATTTAATTTTTATTTTCATCAATTAAATGCCTTCGTCGATTAGAAAATTCCATAGAAGACTGTACATCGTGAAAGTATCTTGAATGAAATAAGCAAGAATTTACGAGTTAATGCAATTAATTAATCGAGCTCGCGTGTAATTTAGATCGACGGAGAATTTTCAAGAGGCAGTTTGAGAGATCGTTCGCGAATCCAGCCAAGACGTTGAGCAAAAACGTGCTGATGAGGGGAGTGTAGCAGGTGTCGGGCACATGTTTACGGGAAAAAACCGACAGCGTGACGAGAGAGGGAAAAGACGATTCGAAACACGCGCAGACTATACATTCATAATGCGTCGAGTGCAAATAAAGTGCACGCGTGAATGGCTCGGCATGGGGTCTACGCCCTGTAAGCGCAATATTTTCGACGGCCACATGTGTTTAGAAGCAGGAAGAACGTACCAAGAACTATGTTGGCCACCTGCCCCTCTGTTCATTCATAATCTCGAGCCGTTGAAGTTTTTATGAAAGTACAAATGATAATCTCCATACGATCTTTTGAAAGATCATTTTTTACACTGCTAATGTAATTTAATAAATATAATTTAGAAAAACAGAAGTTGGGAAACTTTATGTACCGAAACGTAATCTTTTACATTAATTAGGGATGTATTTGATATCTGTATGAATTAAGCGAAGAGATAAGATTATTATAGACACTACGCTCAATTATTCAGAACAGACTGACATTTTCCTAGTTAGAAGAAGATCTGTTTGAAATAATCAGAATATACTACAGATCTAGAACCAGGAGAAATATTCATATCAGAAAGATATCTTAATACTGACAAATTACCTCACGTCCCAGATATTCTATTCAAAGGCGTTACATTCATATCGATTTATTGCTCATATATACATGAAAATAAACCATTTGCAAAATGGAGAATCATAGAGGATCAATGTCCTAAAACATTCCAGAAATCGTCGACTAAACCTGATAAAATAAAAGAACAATGAGAACGTTTTGCTAATATCTCGTTTAGTCTATTTCTAATTAATTAAAAATATTTGGTACAACTCACACATTTTATATCGAAGGAGACAAGGGCTGTCATGCGAAATTCACTTCCGTCACTTAGGGTAAACCGGGTGCAAACCAAGTTGCGATTAAATCTACTCCTTGACACTGCTATCCGAGGTTTTTCTCGAGTATCGTGCAATAATATCAACACGAGGACAAACCTGTTCGATAGCCGTGATGCGGGTTAACTCGTCGAGGAGGCCGGCCAGCCCGTAACCGCTTTTCCCAGTCCAATCGAGACCGTGGAGGGCCGCCGCGACGCTCGCCGCCGCAATCATGCTTGGTGTGTACATCGAGAATTTGTACTCTGTAAAAATAAACGCATATTTAATATAATTATTCGTGTTTCTTTTAAATTGCTATGAATAACATTTAGAAATTAATACCAACATTAATACGTTAATTTGTAGGTTCTTATAATCCGAGCGAGTAATTTTCTCCCACTCATTTTCCAATCTTCTTATGTAACATAACATACATGTACATATTTACCCAATACGCATACCTAATTGTATTTAATAAACAATATCTTATCAACAATGAAAAGTATACACTAACCTCATTTCTGTGACATCCATATATCACGTATACACAAAGTTCCTGTATTATTTCTTATATTCCAAACGCATATCCTTACTCTTTCCAAGCAAAACCTGTGCAGCATATAAAGTATTTGATTCTCCAAGACCGGTGAGAGACATTGCCACTCGAAGCATTGAAAACATAACCAAAAAAAGAACAGAGAAATGTTACCATTATTCCAAGTACCTAACTCGATCTTATCTTTCGAAGCACGATGACCATGAAACGAATCCAAGAATTTTGTCTAACAGTTTCACAAACCTGGAGGTTAAAATCTGCTAATAGAACCGCAGGTAGACAGGTCCTAGGAAAAGGGTATTCGAAACGAGATTTACGATGCTGAAAACTGCGTCCTTCGAGGGGCCGAGCCTAAAGGTTACCGACAGAGCAAACACTAGCGCGCAACACCTCTCTCTTGCCTTTTTCCCACTTTACTACGGTCGAGTTCGAGCGTGAAAGCTTTTGCCACCTTAGTACGGGGTGTTAACCTTAACACCACTACGAGTTGTGACCAACGAAAACCGGACACGGACTAGCAAACAATTAAACCGACTAGCCATGACGCTAGTGTCTTAGAGAATTCGGGTTGGTAATCGCTGAAATATCTCCTAACGGTACCTCTTCTTCCTGGCCGAAAAACTGCGAACCAAGACTTTCTAACGCCTTTGTTGTCGAGATTTATTGTTTTCTTCTTGGAATAATCTATTTATACATCTAGTATATCTTTGTGGACACGAGATGGTTACTTCCGTAATAAAAAGTTCACAAAGTCGAATTAATTTTAACTTCATCTGTTTCTTTTTTTGTTGGCCATCTTAATAAAGATTTTTTCTTTTTTAATTTAGATAAAACATATTTTGTTAAGTTACAAAATGTTTGTTGAAGTTTATTTCAGGTTTTATATGCAAATTTAATGCAACGTTAGGATTCTTACTAGCGACACTATCTTATGATAAGTAGGGATCGTATTTGAGCAGTCGCAAACTAGATGGCAATGTACTACTGTTTTAACCTTACATTATTCATTTTGCTTCGAATACTTCTTTAACAATTAAAACAATATTTTTGTAACGTAAATCTAAATATAATACGCATGAAGTAAACCAATAGAGAGTTTTATATTCCTAACAGCTGACTATCCCAGTATATAATTATTAAACCTCATTTCGGAGAATCATACGAAAACTGTATCAGCTTCTCTTAGAACCCAAATTAAGAAGACTCTTATCGTAGTCGACTTCAACCTATTAACCCATAAGATTTTGTATGTATCATTATACAAATTTTTCCAAAGATTATATCAGATACTGAAATTTTTAGCTATATTTGACAGCGATTATTATTCGTGTGATCAATTATCGACATTCTTGAATACTTTTTGGTGGTAAGGAAGAAAATTCCTCAAAAGTTACCAAGCAAGAAGAAATGACCAAAAGATTCGAAAATTAGCTAAAATTTCCAAAACTTGATAATCCTACTTTCAATTGTAATGATTGGTATGTGACAAGTATATGAAATGGCACTTGGAGAAACGTCATTGTATATATGCAATAAGTATAACTTGAGGAATCGAAAGAAGACCGACCGGTTGTGTCATTAAATCGATCAGTTCGATGAAACGCGTTTAGGGGGCGCAATTGAGCGTCATGGCTGACGAGCGAAATGTCGTGAAGCATACTTTGAGGTCAACAATAAACATGACAATCACTGATCGTGTTCATCCTTTTATGTTGACGATATATATTCCATCGAGCGTTTTGTCCGAATTTTTCTCAAACGTGAGCGCTATTCATTCATGGAAAGATGGGAACAGGTTCCTGGACAACCGAAATGTCCGATGGGCGAGCTGAAATTCAACGGGCAGTGTGTGTGTGCACGCGCGCGCGCGCACGCCGTAATAAAGCCATTAAGAATGGAATTCCACGAAGCCGCTCTTAAATTTGCAGAGCCGCGAAGGAGAGAAAAGGAGAGAAAAAGAGAGAGTTATACAGTTCGTGCAGGTGCGTTCTGTTGTCCTGGTGGATTGTGAATTACCATTCGAGAACGACATTCCTGGATGAAGACCACCCCCACGCGATTGACCCTGATTATCTTCTTTATTATTGATCATTCCTTCCGTATTTTTCTTTTCCATTTATGAATTCTAATTTTTTTTTAAATCTCTCGTTTTTTCAGTTTATTTTTTTGATCTTTTGTTTCTTTCCTTCTTACAGGGAATATTTACCAAAGAAATATTTTTATGTAACTTCTGCAACCCTTTTTGGTATAACATAATTTTTATTTCACTCTATTTCTATTTGCTTTCATTTTTCTTTTAATTCATTTTTACCATTGATAATCAATTTTATGTAGTTCTTGAGCTTCTTGATATAATACCATATACGCTGAGCCTTTTCTTTTGGTTTTCAGGACCTAGTTCTTTTCTCTTGCGGGGCCTCTCTTGAACTTCGGGTACTCCACTTTTCTTAGCCTCGTTTTCTTCCTTTTGGCGGCTTGCTTCCTCTTTACCATTCTTCTCTTTTGGATGTCTCGTCCTCTCCATATTTCTCCGGCCTCCTTTTTTATTCTGGTGCATTTCATTCTGGTTATGCTCTCTTGATGCCCCTTTCTTAGCTTCCCTCTTCTCATGTCCCACTTCTTTCGGCTCCTTCTTCGTCTCTTTTAGCTTCTACGTTTCTTCCTTTTTCTTCTCTTTCTTGCAACTTGGTCTACCTTACTTCCGACTAAATTAAAATCTCTTTTCCATCCTTTCCCTTAACATCTTTAAGTTCCAACCAAAATTCACAGTGCATTTAGCCAACACGAAGCTACCAAACAGGGGTACATCAGGTTTTTCACTTAAAATTGATAAATTATCTCAATAAATATCTCTAAAATACAAAAAAAATGTGTAACGATACATTATCTTTTTAAGGATACAAAAATTAAGAAGCGTTTTACATTACTCATGTCCAAAAGGTAAGCAAGTGTATCATTCCTCTTAACACTCATCCTCAGGCTTTTCTCGAATATGGAATAATAATATCACTCGCATTGTAGATATTACCAGTGAAACGTATCGAGCAAGAGGACAATCAATCCGGATGAACATGGGTCCCATTAGTCTCGAGCACGAAAACAATCGGCTTCATGCGTCCTCCGAGTCGCAAGGGCGTGGAATCGAAAAAGGCGACAAGGAGCAGGTTCACGGACCTTCCGCGATTCAAGGAAGCGACAGGAATTCGTGGCGCCGTTTGCTTCTCTTTTCGTCGCTGAAAAAGAGGGTCAACCGACTCGAACCAGGCTCGGCGAGCTACCTAGTTTGGCTCGTGAGAAACAATCATCGTCTCCCGGGCCCGCTTCTAGTCTTTTCTCCTTCTCCAGCCGGGACCACCGAGCCGGCCCAGCCGACGAAGGACGATGGTCCTTGCTTTTTGCCATCCCCGCTTGTAATAACAACCGACTGGCAGCGGCCAGAAGGGGATTTAAACGTGTCTCGCGATCTCGTCGTGTCCGACGCCCCCTTCTTCCTCGTCTTCAGCTTCCTCTTCTTCTTTTTCCTCCCTCAGTTCCCCTGCGTTTCGGGTTCTTTCGATTCCACGGTTTTCCTGCCTCGTTTTAGGTAGGTACACACTGATAATTCCGCCATTTTTAATGCTTTCGTTGACTTTTTAATTTTTTCTCGTTTAGGTTACCACATGGTGAAGAGTCTTGAAGAATTACGGTGATACTTCGTGGTATTCTAGATGAGATTTGACTCCCACCTGGCCAAATTAAGTACTCGATATGTTTGCGAAGAAATTAAATTATTGAGAAAGGTTTATAAACGTCGTAAGTTCAAGATTAAGGATGTGATATGAATTACTTAGGTATTTGGATATCCTTGTAATTAATTAGTGCATGATACGTAGGACATGATACATATGGATGTAGAAAATCTAGTAGAATTACCAAGAGTGGATCACGCAACTTTCCACCAGTTTTCTTCCACTAAAATGTCTTCTTTGAGCTTCTAGATTACATAACCTATTGTAGCAGTTCTTAACACGCCCACGGTCGTCGTCAACCGCCATAGAACGTACGCTTCGACGATCATCGGTGACTGTCACGAATGTGTCAAGATTGTGCAGCGTATAATTACACATATTAGCAAGGACGCGATATTTCGTGATAAAGAAAATCGAAGCGCGGAAAACACAGGTTACGCGCCATATTTCTCGCGGCTCGTTAGCATTCTGGTATAAGGTTAGTCAGCTTGATAGTCGTTCGAGTGACTAGATTTAGAAGAATTCGAGTTCATTCGCTGCGAAACGACGATGACTCCGTTTCTACACGAATGGAGCAGACAGAGAGATATAATTTCCAGCTTATCGGAACTCGAGTACGAGTTAAAAGTTAGGTTAGGTTAAAAGAATGGCGCAGAACACGGGCAGATGCATTTTTCATTTCCCCGGCAAACCACTAGCCGTTCGAAAGCACTCGCTTTTCCATTTTACTCTCCATCCTATTCCCTTCCGCGATATAAAACACCAGCCATACGAAACGATATTCCCCCGTGAACCAAATAAATGAGCCAACACTCTCGTTAAGACGTGACCGCGAAGCGTTCAATTAAAAATTTCCCGCAAATTAACGGAAGGAGGAGAAAAAAGAATCGATTTTACCCGCCATTTTCATCCGTACCGTTGCGCATGCGCGCGCGAGCATGAAGAAAAAGGGATCGCTCCTCGACGAGAAAAAACAAGCTGAACGAGCTAATTAAAGTTAAATATCCCGTATATTACGTTCTATAAACATTTTCCACGCGTGTTCCGTCGTTTTACTCCCCGGTTCACTCCCCAGCGTTCATTGCGAGAAAGCGCGCGAAATACGAATCTCGTATTCTCGAATCTCTCCTTGCCGTTCACGTTACGTCATCCCGGTGGCCATTTTACGTCCCGTCGATAATCGTACGCGCCGCATGACCCATTAAACGAAACGAAATGAGGAAAGAGGAAGAAAAGAGGAGACGCAAGAAGCGGGAGCGAGAAGGAGAGATGGAGGAGAAGAAAGAAAGAAGACGCGGCGCATAGAATCGATTCAAAGTAGTTACGTGATGGTTTCCGCCGGGCGCCATTATACTATGCACAGGCATATTCATTAACGCGTGAGTTAACGATGCACGTTCCCGATTGTTTACGATGCCGTGGCACGGTTCTAACGAGGCTAACAATGAAGGCTCGCGCGTAAAAATTGCATTTTAAAGCGTATCGCGTTTACTACGCGTTGCGCGCCACCGTCATTATAATTTCTAATAAGCGCCTAAATGTCGTCCACCAGGCGAGAATACTTCGAGTACCGCCATATTGCTTTCCACGTACCAAGTGAATCTTGGAATTGGCAATTTGGGGATTAGAGGAAGAAAATTTTAAGGCTCGAAGACACGACGCCATTTTAATTCCTCGAGGATACACTTTAACGAAATTTAAACTGCCTAGTTTCTAGAAGATAAATATTGATCTTTCGACGAAGGCTTACGCGGATCCTTTCAATTCGAGAGAACCAGCGTGGATCCCTCGGTTTGAAAAGGCAAGCGTAGTAAAACTAAGAAGATTACTATACTAACTGTGTAACTCGAGGGAGAGACATTAGCCGGTTAATTCAGTGGGGTAACTATCGATTGTCTGGCTCGAAAGGACGGTTGAATCGTTAATTCGAGGAGATAAACGCGAGATCCGGAGGTGGACGTTGAATGTTTAATTTGCAAAAGGGAGCATTAATTCTTCATGGCTTTTTCTCGAAGTGAAGTTCTAATTCGAGGAGATAGGCGGTGAATTCGTGATCAGGAACGGGGCGAAACTTAATTAAAAATTTTAACAAGCATTCCGATCCGAGGGAATATAAGCGTATATTCCATTTCAATTACCATTAGTTATTCAAATCTTCCCGCCTTATTTTATATTTTCCCGTACCGTGGAAAAAGCAACTACGCAGATAAGACATAGTATTTTTTAATAATTTTCAATAGATCGTAAGAATACGTCGGCGTATCTTCGCTTATGGGGTGAGAGAATTGCGAGCAGCGCTTAATTGAGATGATAATGGTCCCTTTTAATGCCAGTGGCGTGCGTTTCCGGCATATTGTCGCGTTTAAAATGCGTGAAAATTAAATTAAAGGAGACCCTTAACGTAGAAAATGAGAAATAAAAGTGGAATGAAAACGTGTGCTACCGCTGGCATTACCGGACCTTTAAAATATTCCGATATTTGACGAGCTGTCGCGATAAAAATTCACACGCAGATAACATTGCTCATAGATTAGAAAATTTCCCTGTTAATTATTCTCGTGCCGTTAGTCACAGCTCGAACGTTATAATTAAATAAAAAGTAGAACGAATTGCAATTTTGCCTTTTCACAACTCCGACATCCCGTTTATCTCGTTTATCTCGTGACTAGATAACCAACGGATAATTAACAGCGAATCAAGGATAGAAATAAAGCGAAGAAAAATTATGTTAGCTGGGCAAACTCAAATCGAACAAAGAACGTTTCCTGTGCTTGATACCAATTTTATAATTGCGATCCCGACTTCCGGCGAGTCTCGTGTTCTTGACCCATAAAAAACAATTCGAAGTTAATGTTTTCCCATGAAATTCTTAATACGATATTTGTTAACCTAACAAAGTGTCCAACCTTGTCGTATTCAAAATAGTAGCAATTTATGTAACGATACTCTATCCTTTGGAATTCTTAAAGACACCCTGCACGTTTCACATTCATCTTCCTCTGAGGATCAAGGGATCAAAGGATCAAACAAAGAACAAGAAACGACTGTTCAAACAATGGAAAAATGGAAGAAAATTGACTAATTGTATCGAAAACAAATAAACAAAGGTTCTATAAAAGCTCACATTAACAAGCCCACGCAAAGCTTCTTCCTTTATAGGAACATAGCAAATTGAAGCCTTTTTATCATAAGAGCGACTAAGCTTTTATTTCAATATTTCATGTGTCGTGGGAAGCTCAGAAGAAGAAGACAGTTGACAGTGATTGGCAACCTATCACAAGATTGACCTAACTGCGTACATATACAGAGCTGTGCACGTTCACAATTAACTGCAAACGTCTGTGACAGAGTCCAAAAAGTATAAAACTAATTATAACTATAATGATTCATCTACAGTAACCATTTCCATACTATTCCAAACTAGATATTGGCTCTGAATCTTCAGGATTCTTCGAAATAACCGAGAAGCACATCACGAGAGCAGGTTAAAATCGTCTCTCCATCTTCCCAACACTCCATTACCTGGCAAGCTCGCAGATACCCAAGCGAATGACTCAAGCTCTACAAACCATTTGAAGCCCAAAGGGTTGAAAAACTCGTGCAAGCCTATTGCACACTATCCAACTGCATCCGTGTTCCCACTTACATCCCAATGAAATCACTCTAACCCAAGTGGTCCAGCTCGCCTCTATTCCGCCCGTAGCCTGACATGTCTTTCCAGGATAAGAAAGAACGGTTTGCGTCATTTACCTTTGTTCCCTCGAATTTTCCACGGTGCAGCGGGCACGCATTCGCCATGCACGCTCGTCCCACATACATAAATACATATGCAGCTCGGTAATCCCGATCGTTTCTCACCTCTGGCGCTGAGGGTGATGAAGGTCTGCGCGTGCCTCCTGACCATCACCGGGTCCCAGGTACGTGGCACCGGCAGTCTGCTCAGGATGTGCGTCAGGAAGTCACCGGGCGTTACGGCGGATAATTCCCATTTCAGCTTCGAGACGACCAGCTGTTCCCACCTCTGCAACCATCACCAAGACAGAACACGCGTTTAGACGCATCGCATCATCATCCACCTTGTTACGTTGGCGGGGATTTTCGTATAGGGAACGCGATTCAGGGGGGTTGCACGTGGGTGGCTGGTGGGTGTGCTGACGATGCACGGGAATAGATAAGAGGTCTCTGTCCTATTGGAGATTGAGTGGATGGCTTTTTGTTCGCGACTTTTTCGCGTCTCATAGGCTGGCTCTGTTGGGTGTGGGGTTCGGGTTAGGTTGTGGGTATCGTAGAGATCGGATGCACTCCTTGGCAAGAGATTTCGTGGATGGTACATAGGTTAGGAGATATTATGGATGATGATGGAGTGTCGTGATTTGTGTGTACCTGGTTTTCCACTGGACGTGTGCTGGGATGATCTGAGTGTCGATTAGGTACTTGGCTGGTTTGGATTCTAATTCTAGCAAGTTTTCAACAAGCAGTGACTACGAACCAATTAAAATAAAGCCTCAAATTCGATTTTCAAAGCTGAAGTATTATATCGTTTGAACTGGAATTCGAGATCAGAAATTTGGTCACAGTCGAGTAGTCGAGTCGTGTGACTCATGGTGTATCTGTAGCCATGGTGTAACATTTTCATTCTGCATTTGCAATGTAACACAGCGTGAAATATTTGGAAGAGTTCCACGTACTGGGTATTTTGCACCTTTGGTAGCTGTATTATCGCATGGTGCATAAAGTCAGGCATCTTATGCATTAAACATTGCGTTATATTTGAAGCTGACTATGATACCTGTTACATATTTCACAAGGTAAATATCCTTGGTACCTTTCGTTTCTCGGAATAACAGAAAAGAATATCAGGAAGAATGTTACACTTTGAATACCTTCTTACACTTTTGGTAGATGTTTTGTCTAATACGAAGTGTGATTTTATAGTATCTATACTTATTATTTTCCAAGCTATACTTAATATCCTTACAATTTAATACCCTTGATATATTACAATTCTAATAAACAAACTAAATACCCATCGTATAATAAAATTGAATTATTACCCAGGCGAATATGTCTACGTACAAAACAAAATATACTGTAAGCACGTTGCACGAGAGATTGTACACGGTTTAAAGAACCGTGAACGACTCTTTAATGCAGCAAAGCGAGCCTCGATCTGCCTTCGTTCCAAGTCGACTCGAAAAATTGAATTTCCAAGAG